GACCATTGACCTCGCATCCCTACAAAGCCGGGACAGAGCACGCCGGATTCTCACCGGACCAAGCTCTCACATCACCAAGCGCGAAGTGCCGTGAGGTATTCGGCGAGTCGCTTAACGGGTGCGCTGCATCCTGCTAAGGGTGTTCGGCATCTTGTGCTTGCTTCCTTGCGTACGGATGACNCATCCTGCTAAGGGTTTTCGGCATCTTGTGCTTACTTCCTTGCGTACGGATGACAGCTGCGTATGAATTAATTTATTTTCTGGTGCTTTCACTTCCAGAGACAGTTGTAAGCACTGTGTAACTGCCTCGAGGGTGCTTGACCATTTTAACACATCGTGGTGCGATCATCCCCCCTGCGCGGAGTAAGGGTTCTCGACCCCGCACAACATGATCTACTCGACCATCATTACGGTTACCGCAAAAAAAAATAACAGAGGTTAAAAAAAACAAACGGTAACCTGGTTGCCGAGTTCACGAAGTGAATTGGCNTAACCCAATCCCGATGGCAAACACCGAGGGGGCGGCTTGTTTTGCAACGTCGTTGCCAAGCGACGATATCCCAACCCCGATGGCAAACAACGGAGTCACTGGGGCGGGAAGCGTTGAATGCAGCTGCCGCGGGGGTATGACGGGGGGGGGGTTCAACCTACAGATGTAACTCTTCGTTGCAGGATGCAGGCAGCGAGCAGAGACCATTGTTTGAGAGTCGCTGCAGTTGTGTGGGCACCTTTAAGTCTTGAGCGGGAGTAAGGTGGTCCTGCTTGACACGTTGCGCTGCGTAGGTTTGCGTCAAGTTTGCTGTGCCTTCTTTGTTTCAGGCCAGGTGGCGAGAGGGCTTCCTACTCTAACTATTGTTGTTGGACCCGTGATAACTCTCCTGCTGTTTCTTTTTTCATGGCGTTAAGCGAGAATATGTTGGTTGGTCGGTTGCTGGTTATTGATGAAAGATGAGGACCATATTTTCTTCGAGGCATTCAATGTCTCGGAAGCAGATTCTTTGTGTTATAACAGGGTTTTCGCCTGATTGATAGCGGAGTATATGCATACGATTGAGAGCGGGAGCCAAAAAAATTGAAATTTCGGGTCCAGACGCCTCTTGCCATTTCTTGGCAAGTAGGGGACGGGCTCTTCCAAGAAGCGGCGCAAATTGAAGGTCTCATCAGCAGCGTCACGAGCATATGCGTGTCATCGCGATCGGATGCTGCAGCTAGGAGCTAGACAAGTTGCTAGATTTCCCCAGATTGGCTATTCCTGCCTCAAACTGTTTCAGGGCGATTTGATCGCGGGCGGTGAGCTCTGCTGTAGATTCTGCTCCCCGCTGTAGCTCCACAACGAGAGACGCCCACAGGATGACCAGGGTATCGGCTTGTAGCTACGGGCTAGGCCTTCAATTCAAGTCACGCAGCAAGCTCCACCTCTCAGCGGTAGTCCAGCTACAGCGCATCGCGCAATCTCGCTCTCAATCAGAAACTTCGCTCTCAATCACACGAAAACCTTGTTTTATGTGTTCACTCCGATGGGTGTCGTGTGTTGGTGCCACCTACCCTACTAATATAGACTACTGAGGATCATTTTTCATCAATCTTACCTACGATATCAGTTTTGGTTTCGTACAACAAAACATGACATTTTTGTCTTTTTCAAGTACTCAACAACTGAGTCCGACATGGTTCAAGTGGCCAAAGTCACCCGAAAAACATCGCGTTGTGGGTTGTGGAGCCAAATTCGGTGATAAAGCGCGCGATTGTCTGCGTGTGTGAGGTTCTTCGCTGGTGTGATACGTCGTTTGTTTCTAGGATACCGTTGACATTTTTCACAACACCGCGCGGAGACAGACGACGTGTCTTCTTGCACGCGCAAAAACCACCTGCCGGCAGCGCGCGGTGTGCTTCTCTCATCTACCTGCTGTTACGATTAAGGTGAAACTCCTGCAAGTGGCGCGACGTGTGTGAGGCAAAATTCAACACATCCGGTGAAGCATTTTATTGTGCAAATGGGGAGGCATCACCAAAACGGTAGGAAGCGCTGTAAAGTGATTGACGCATGAAATAGAAAAGCGAGGGATCAAGTCGCCAGTCATCCAGGTATCTGCGAGAATCCCTTGCATCCAGGTAGGTGCAATCTTTCTCCTTTTTTGTTGGCGCCATCATTTTAAATGGCCTCCATAGGTGGGTATGTTCGCCGTGCCACAAGAGCTCATCCACAACTGGACAATATTATGGGGTATTAACCACAGATCATCAGCAAGAAAATATGCATTGTACTTGTTACCCGTGCTGTTCGATGGGTCTAGCTGGCAGGTGCCCGTGTCATTATTTTGTCCGACGTTTGGTTTTCCAAAACGGATTATTTTCGGACTTTCCTGTGATCGGAGCTCAGTTCGTGTTCAAGAGAGGCACACCAATCCAAGCAACGCGTAAACACGCTAAACATGAAGCCTTCCGTGTCTGAATACAACGTGGCGGAATGTGGCCGCCGTGAGGCAGTGCCGCAATTTCCAGCCTTTGGAGCGGCAAGGGCAACTCCCCTGTACCGGTATGACAGATGGCCGCGTCGGAGTTTGAAGCCTTTGTGTGGTGGCGAAAATCCTTATATTCAAACACCACAAGAAAGCATCTCCCCACTCAGCAAACCACGCCCGGGCAACGTTGATACCGAGGTGCAAAGGAAACACGCGCCACTATGTCAAGCGACGCGTCGTTGGTCTTGCAGCGATGGGTTCGTGTATGGCCTGCAGCGGTGAAAAACACGTCCAAGTTCGCGGGTAGAACGCCCATACGCACACAACCTGACACGAAAAACATGAGATCGTGGCTTCTTCGCTCCCGCCAGTTGGTTTACCCGTACGTTCCAACAGGCCACCAACAGCGGCATTCCCTACGGTCGCGCATGACAAAGTACCGACGGGCCATCCATTGGCTCCTAAAACCAAAACGGCGTCTAGAGTTCCACCGGCGACGGAGAATTTGCGCCGGAACATAAGGCACAAAGAAGTTACTGGACATGTAAGGGTTGAATACGAGGGAGAAGTATCAAGACGGAAGTGGTGGGCGATGCTTGAGGCGGTGGGGTAGCCAGACCAGCCCGTGCTTCCCACGGCTTCGAGCGAGGCAACCCCAATGGTTTGTCAATTCTCTTCTAGGCCAAACCTTCTCAAAACCAGTCGCTACCCCCCCCCCCCCCCCCGCCCTCTCCATTCGATCAGGTGCTTGAACTGGAACCTTGGGACACGGCACGCCACACGCGGGTTGGCGAGGCGTGGGGGGAATGCGGGCGGCGGGTACCCGGATACCTGAAAGCGTGCGGGGGCGCCGGGTGGCCCGGTTCGTTGATGCAGAAGCACGTTACCCGTATGGGGCGCCAGCTCAAGGACCCCACGGTGAAGACCACTTGGAAGACGTACCCCGAGGTCATGCGCAGGGTGGAGGATGTTGTAGCCAGTATGGCACCCACGCGACGCTACAGAGACAAGTTCGGGCCACAGCAGCAGCACGGCGTGGTGGAGCCCAAGAAATCCAACGTGGCGACGTTGGAGACGGCACACGACAGCCCGGAACAGCCCGCGACGTCTCTGCAGCGCCAGCAGCAGGCGGCGATAAAGTCCCACAAATCCACACTGGCGGCGGCGGTACCGGCGCACGCCAACCCAGAGCAGCCCGCAACGGCACATCAGCGCAAGCAGCAAGGGGCGGTGGAGCCCAAGATGTCTTTCATAACGCGTCTCGCCCTTCGCTCTGACGCGTCCACGGCGGAGCACATGTCCGCTCCTGCGATGGTTTTGTTCTTCTTCGCATGCCAGGGGTTCGGGCCCCGGGGGGAAGCGGGGGAACGGCAGGCGACGACGGAGCCCGGCCCCGAAGACCGACTGGCGCCTGTAGGTCCCTCCCTCTTGGGGGCCCAGGTAGCGCCAGCCGTTGCTCCTGTCGGGCAGGGGAGCGGCCTGGTCGACCTGCTCGGCGAGCACCACCGGTACTCGGGCCGCGGAGCCGTGCCGCCGGCGCAGTAATTTTTTTTTTGCGTCGTCGGAGCATTTATTTTTTAATTGTAAAATAGGCAAACTAAATACGTCTGCGATTGTGGACGAGTCAACCACGGCGAAAGATCCCTGTGTTCGTGGTGGTTGTGACGGCGGGGGCGGGAAGGATCGCTTCCATTGTTCCACGGAAATTAGGAAGGAGGTGCTTCAAGTATAAATATATGTGTTTCTTTGCCGGCTCTGAGTGACGATGAGACGTCGTAAGACCCGCCACACGTGCGTGTATTGTGTGGGGATGCCCATTGTGGTGGATCCCTTTGTTTCTCTTCTGTCTGTCTGTCTACCATAAACTGCGGGATCGATCGTCGCGCGCATCGTCATTATTGTAGCAGCGGCGGGGGACACCGCGCCCCCGCCGGATTCGAAGCAGCCGCAGAAAACAGATAACAAGAGGCGCGGTGCGCGGGGGTCGAAAATGTCCAGCCTATTGTGTGAGTCGATACTGCTGTTCGACCAGTCAGCGAACTACGGATGGATCAGCCAGCCGTTGGGATCAATTTTTCGTAATATTTTTCTCGTGTCGAACCTTCTGGCGTTTCTTTTTTTGTTTTTGTGTCTAGGTACGTGACTAGAGATGCATTTACTTGATAGATGTAGTTTGCCCATTTGGTTAACACAAATCCGTTGAACACGATGACACCTGACCGCGAGCGTGGGGGGTAGCGGGATGCGTTTTGGCCTGGATATTGTGCACACCGTGGACGCCTGTCGTCCTTCACTGGTCCCAGGAGTCAAGTGACCAGCACATGGGTGTTTTGGTTTGGTTTTGCACATGCATGCATCGGTTGGGAGAGTGTATAGCAGTGTCGATAGCCGTGTCGATGAAGACGCTGTACTAGTTGAAGCCATAGTATTCAAGACAAGGATTGGGTAAACAGAAAGCACAACATGTGGTAATAAAAAGTCCGCGTGGAAAACTGGTCCACATAGTCTATAGCCGAGTTTTGTATCAATTACAGCCGACGCCAAGCCTGTGAGTACATGGCATCAACAGGTGATGACACTGTTCCGCGGCCACGCAAAGATATCTAACCGCATAGTCTCCGTTGTTTTCGGTTCGGTTTTGGCCGTCTCTCCTGGTCTACCGATGAAGTACTTGCCGTTTCTCTCAATCTATAGAAAGGGGGAAGACGCGTCAACCTTCGATATTCCGGTCCAGCTTTGCTGTCCAGCTGTGTCGCATAGAATAGGCAAGCCTCGTGTCACGAAAGGGATTCACGAAATCCTCCAGTTTCAGGTAAAACGTGGTGAACTGGATATCAAAGCCGCAACGTGACTACCACTCGAGCGTTTTCAGATTCGTGCCAACGATAGGGATGCACCAATGCCCCGTAGTATCGCCACAGGTAAGTGAACACGATAGTCTACCAGCAAAGTGGCGATGATGAATACAACAGTATATTGCTCGTGGACAAGGGTGATTAAATGAAAGTATTGGATTTGGGATGAGGCCTCCAGCCCTGATGGCGGCGACCCCACCGATCAATGAACATGTAAACGATCCAGAGGCTTCGGCACAACGTTAGCAGGAGGGTGGGTGGGGTGGTCTCGAAAACCTTTCTTCCTACCCTGTGTTGTCGCTTTTTCACGGTACATCAGGGAGAAAGACAATGATCGGCTCTACGCAAATTTCAACATGGTCTCGGGGCAGACGCCTACATCCATTTTCGTGCCGAGCTTGAATTCCTTCAAACACCTCATGGTGATCACAGTGACGTTACAAAAGGAAGGGTAGGTTCTTCTTCACTTGAGGAACCGTGACAGAAAAAAAATTCACGAAACGGCCTCTATTCATCCCTGCTCACAGCCCTGCTCACAGGGTTCAACAAGAAACAACTCCAGCGAAAGGGATTCGACCAAACGAACCGGGCATGTTTTAGGCGTTGACCTGGACACAGATCACTTCCACGTCTGGGGACGGAGGAGGAATGGATGGGAAACAAATTATGGCGTGACTTGAAAAACAGCGTCCCACACAGCGGCGAACTGCCCAGGGGCTGATGTCTGACAGATACTTCATCGCCTCTCACGCGCATGACCAGTGCGCAGGCACTAGCGAACAGGCTTTGCACGGACTACAACTGTTTCAAGCCGGCCCTTTCCTGCCTCCTTCGCTTGAAACCGATCCTCGAAAAAGCGTGCTTACAGCAAACGTACAGCAGACCGCAACCAACGCACGACCGGGCGGAAGGGCTCCTACTACTGCTGCGGCGATGCTCAGAGCAACTTTTCAAGCGCCTCGACGGTGTGCACCGGTGCTGAGCACGTGTTATCGAAGCACACGTACGCGGCCGCCTGTCCCTCCTCTCCCGCGGAATAACCGCCTGCGTAGGCCTCCAATATTTCTCGGAACAATGGGGGTGGAACGTCTCCAGCCTTCCCGTCCCCTCCTTCTTCCTCCTTGCCGCGGTCGTCACCTGGTGCGGAGTACAAGTTGGTTGTTGCTGATGATGCTGCTGCTGTAACAGCCGATGGTGTCTGGACAACAACGGAGGTGGGCATGGCATTTCTACATTTTCTGTGCGAAGGAAAGAACACTAAGTCCGCCCGGGAATACGGGTGGGTGAAAAATCGCCATGTCCTACAGTGAGTGAGACGATGGTATCATTCTGACCAGTCTCAAGGAAAAAATCTAAGCTGCCAACCAGCTGAGTCTATTGTAGAATACCGAGCCGATTCAGAAAGGGTTGATAGTTACGAACGTAAAACCTAGCTTCTCTAGCTTCGTGAAAAAGAGCAACCGGGCATCATCGGCCCTTTGCGGTTGACAAGAATGAGGAATGAACCTAGCACCTCGGCAGTTACACAGTGCTTACAACTGTCTCTGGAAGTGAAAGCACCAGAAAATATATTAAGTCATACGCAGCTGTCATCCGTACGCAAGGAAGTAAGCACAAGATGCCGAACACCCTTAGCAGGATGCAGCGCAC